GGCTTAGGGGAATGTTATAAGTGGTTTGATTTTCTACCCAAACCATTAAAACTTTATTCATATCAGCAATAAGGTTGTTAAGCTTTCTTATTCATGTGTTCACTAGAGTAGTACTTTTTAATTTCTTTCAAGAACTTTTGCTTTGCATTCACAACTTGGCTAACTGTGTGGTGCAAGAGGCCCATTGTTCTCCTGTCTTGGCTTTCTTCATGCCTTGCTCACTAAGCTTAACCATTTTCTAACTTTGGGTTTATACAGAGAGATTTGCAACTATTACTTTCACTTGAACACTTAGAGGCCACTGTAGGGTTATTAATTAGCCTAATTTAAATCTCATTGTGTCTCAGGGAATAGGGAGGCCTAAGGAGAGAGAGATGAGGGAATCACCAGTCAGTGGAGCAGTCAGAACACACACATTTATTAAGTTCACCATCAAATGTAAGTGTGATTCATGATGCCCCAAAACAATTATGGTAGTAACAAAGTTCACTGATCACAGATCACTATAACAAATATAATAATAATGAAAAATTTGAAATATTGAGAGAATTACTAAAATGTGATGGACACACAAAGTGTGCAGATGCTGTTGGAAAAGTGGTGCCAATAGACTTGCTCGATGCAGGGTTGCCACAAACCTTTAAGTTGGAAAAAATGCAGTATCTGTGAAGTACAATAAAGTGAAGCACAGTAAAACAAGGTATGTCCATATTTGCTTTATCAGGAATCTCCATTCATACATCTCTCCCTCCATCCATTAATCCATCTTAACTTTGGTGCATTTCAAAGAAAATCAGTCATCAGTGATTTTCCTCTAAATATTTTAGCATGTTTACCATTTATTTACAGTTTTTTCTTTAAATGTAAAATTTATGTTCAATAAAATGCACAAACCTTAAGTGTACATGTGCTGAGTTTTGGCAAATACACATACCTGTGCAACCCAAATTTCTGTTAAGACATGGAACATTACTATCACCTCAGACCCTATGCCAGTCAATCCCAGCCCTTACTCCTCATTCAAGAAGCAATCACTATTCTAATTTTTTTCACTGTGGATGTTCCTTTCTTGTTCTAGAAGTTCACATAAATGGAATTATATAGCACAAATCCTCTTGTGGGTTCTCTTATGCAGTATGATTTTAAGATTCATCCATATTGTTGAATACATCAGTAATTCATTTCTTTATATTGCTGGGTAGTATTCTAGTGTATGATTATACCACCATTTATTTATTCTTTGCCCTGATGATAGATACCTGGGTTAGTTCCAATTTTTGACTTATATAAATAAACCTACTCCGAGCATTCGTGTACAAATCTTTTTGTGAACATAAATTTTTATTTCTCTTTGTTTTATAGCCATAAATGGAATTGCTAGGGCATAGGTATATGTTTAGTTTTGTAAGTAACTGCCAGAATTTTGACCAAAGTGGTTGTACCAGTTTACATCCCTCGTAACAGTGTATTAGGATTCTGGTCACTTAACAACCTTACCAACATTTGGTATTGTTAGGCTTTTTCATTTAAGCTATCTGGTAAATATGTAGTAAAGTCTGCCTCATTATCATTTCATTTGCATTTTCCTGATAACCCATGATGTTGAGCACTTTTTTAATGTGGGTATTGGCTATTTGTATACATTTTCTTGTGAAGTGTCTTTTCTAATCTTTTGCCAATTTTTACTGTTTGGGTTGTTGTATTATTAAGTAATAGGAGTTCTTTATATTTTCTGGATATTAGTCATTTGTCAGATACATGTTTTGAGAATATTTTTCTCCCAGTCTGTGGCTTTCCTATTCACTTTCTCAGTGCTGTCCTTTAATTAGTACTGTATACATATCAAGTTTTGATGAAGTTCAAATTGTCAATTTTTGTTTTATGGTTATTGCTTTCTGTAATATATTTAAGATTTTTTTAGTGTTTAAGATGTTTAAGACATTTTTGGTTACCTCAAAGTTCTTGATATTCTCCTATGTTCTCCTCTAATAGTTTTATGATTTTAGCTTTCACTTTAGTCTATGGTGGCTCTCACATTAAATTTTTATATGCTGTATCTGTGACACTTGTTTTTGGAGCTCTGAGATACCATGTAAGAAGTTCTACCACCTTGAGGCTGCCAGGCTATGAAGAAGCCCAAGCTGTGTGGAGAAACATGTAGGTGGTAATTCATTTGACAGCAGGAACTGAGATCTTGACTAATGGTCCTTGCCATGCACTGGACTTGTGAGCAAAGACACTTGCACATAATTCAAGATTCCAGTTACATAAACTTCTAAATTCAAACTCCAGACATTCTTTTGTGCTCTGTCTGAATTCCTGATGCACAGAGTCCATGAACATAGCAAAATGGTTGTTTTAAGCTGTTAATTTTAAGGCTAATTTGTTAAACAGCAATATTAACTGTAGCAGCATGCACCAAAACATTCCAGGGAATTAGAAGACTGAAAATATGCAATCTTCAAACTATTTAATTTTTAATTATTTGAGAGACACTTTGATATTGTTCAGTGCTTCATAGTCATGTCTTCCTAGTTCCTTAAATGCAGAGGTAGAGAAATCCTGTGCTACCTCTTGACAGTTGCTGTTATGAAAAGATCTCCACATCTCACTTAGAATGCAGATTATGCCCTCCAGAATTCTTGTATTCATACTTTTTGCCTGAACTGAGCCAGGTAAGTTGTGGCTTTTGTGAGTTTAGAGGTATTTTCCATAGTAAGAAGATGTGGCATCATGTTCCAAGACCACACTTGATTTTTAAATTCTATTTTATTTTTAAATTTACATATGAAAAGATTCACTATTTTTGGTATACAGTTCTGTGATTGTAACAGATTCTTGGAGTTGTGTGACCACTACCATGATAAAGATACTGAAGAGTTTTAGCACCCCTGCCTCCCCACCAAAAAAGTAGAAATATGTTTTCTTGTGAATAAACACCTAGGAGTGGAATGTCTAGGTCATATTATAGGCATATGTGTAACTTTGTGAGAAACTACCAAACTTGTTTTTTGTTGTTTTTTTCATATATTTTATTAGATTTTTTCCTAGATAGTTGATAATTTTGTGCTTTTATGAATGGTATCTTTCTAATTATTGCCCCAGAGTTTACAGTATATGTTTACAATTTATCCAGGTCCACATTTAAATGACACTATATTGCTTCAGGGATAGTGGGGAAACCTTATAATACCAAAATATTCCCAATTCCTTTCTCATATCTTTGTATCACCACTGTCATTTATGTTACTTATACAGAGATGTATATGTGTATATGTATATATACACATAATCAAATACACTGTGCATATGTATATATACATATTCAAATACATTGTCATTGTTATTATTTTGAACAAATTTATGTGAGATCACTGAAGGATAAGAAAAATCAAAGTTTTTATTTACTTTCACTTATTACTTCTTTAGTGCTCTTTTAAAAATATATAGCTCCAAGCCTCTGTTCTATATCAACTTGCTTCTTTTTGAAGAATTGTCAACATTTGCTTGGCTGAGAAAGTTTCCTTTACTTTTGAATGAGAGTTTCACAGGATACATAATTCTAAGTTGGTAAAGTTTTTACCTCAATGCTTTAATATTTTACATCACTCTCTTTTGCTTGTGTGGTTTTTGAGAAGTAAGATGTAATTCTTATCTTTCATCCTCTGTAGGTAAGGTGTTCCCCCCTCCCCACCCTGACCTTTTTCAACAGTTTTTTCTTTATGTTTTATTTTTTACAGTTTGAATATGATATGCCTAGATATAGTTTGCAGGGGGGGGTGCAGCATTTATCCTGCCTGGTGTTCTCTGAGCTTCCTGGAGCCATGGCTTGGGGTTTAACATTAATTTGGAAAATTTCTCAGTCATTATTGCTTCACATGTTTGTGTTGTTCCTTTTTCTTATTCTTCTCCTTCTGGTATTCCCATAACTTCTTGGGAATACAGTGGTCCCAAAGTTCTTGGACATTCTGCTCTGTTTTTTTCTTTTCAGTCGTTTTTCTCTTTACTTTTCAGTTTTGGGGGCTTCTATTGACATATCCTCAAGAGCATAGATTCTTTCCTCAGCTGTGTGCTAATGTGCCAATTAGAGGTATTCCTCATTTCCATTACATTGTTTTTGATTTCTAACATTTCTTCATGATGTCTCCTTAGAATTTTCCATCTCTTTCCTTACATTATCTACCAGTTCTTGCATGCTGTCTTCTTTCTGCACTAGAGCTGTTTGCATATTAACTATAGTCATTTTATTTTTTTAATTCTTTAAAAAATTAAAAAAAACCTTTTATTGTATTTTTTCCATTACCACTATAGTAATTTTAAATCCACACTCTGATAATTACAACATCCTTGCCATATCTGAGTCTTGTCCTGATGCTTGCTCTATCTCTTCAAACTGTGTTTGTTGCCTTTTAATATGCCTTGTAATTTTTTGTCAACAGCTGTACGTGATATACTGGGTAAAAGGAACTCTGGTAACTAGGCCTTTAGTAATGATGTGGTAAGGTGTGGGGGAAGGGGGTGTATTCTCTATTACTGTGATTAGGTCTCCATCTTTTAGTGTGTCCATGTCTCTTGGCTGTGAACTCCATAAGTAACTTCTGGTTTCTCCCCTCACTCTCCCTAGGTGGGACAGGATGACTGGAGGGGGCTAGGCAAGATTTGGGTATTTCCCTTTCCCACATGGAAGGCTCAGGGGAGTGAGAGTTGAATAATTCCCTTGCCCCAGGTCAGTTAGCCTCTGGTAAAGACTAGCCCAATAGGTTAGGTTTTGGTAAAATAGTTTCCCTTTTTGTGTGTTGTTTAGTTTTTATTTCACAATCATGAACTTAACTCTTCAGTCCAGCTTGATGTGGATGAAGGATAAGAAAAACATGGAACCCAGTGAACTGCATCAAGAGCACAAAGATTATAGGGTATTCCAAGCAGATGGGGTTGAAGGGGTACTCTTCTGAGCTACCAAAGGAATGGTCTGGTGGTTAGGATAGAACAAGTCAAATTTATTATAGTTGTCCACAGTCAGCAATAGTGATCTTCTTTATGGTCTTTCCATTCCTGGACTCAAAGCACTTGGTGGCTTCCACAATAGTCATGCCTTCCTTTAGCTGGCCGAAGACCAAATGCTTGCCATCTAACCATTCATTCTTGGTAGTGCAGATGAAAAACTGGGAACCATTTGTGTTAGGTCCAGTACTTGCCACGGGCAAGATGCCAGGACTTATATGTTTCAGGATGAAATTCTCATCATCAAATTTCTCCCCATAGAAGGGTGTCCAACCTTTTGGTGTCTCTGGGCCACACTGAAAGAAAAAGAGTTGTTTTGGGTCATACTTTAAACACAATGTGACATGCAATCACAAAATAAGCTCATAATATTTTTAGATAATTTAAGATTTTGTGGTGGGATACATTCATAACCATCCTGAGCAGCATGTAGCCCATGGGATGCAGGATGGACATGACTTGCCACTGTGCCATTCACATTATGGCATGTGAAGTCATCACTCTGCCACATAAATCCAGAAATAATTATGTGAAAGCAGGAACCTTTATAACTCAATCCTTTCTCCCTGGTACTCAGAGAATGAAAGTTTTCTGCTGTCTTTGGAATTTTGTCTCCAAACAGCTCAAAGGAGATGTGACCCAAGGGCTCACCATGGACAGTGATGTCAAAGAACAAGATAGGGTTGAACATGGCTTGGCACAGGCGGCATCTGCAAAGCCTGAAATAGTTTCTCTTGAGAGCATGCCTTGTTAAGAAGAACAGAATGTTCTGGCATATTTCAAAATGGTTACTTTCCCCCTTTCTTTGCCAGAAGGCAGAGGGGATTTTTCTTCAGTATTCATTATGAGAACCTGATTGAGCCCCTGGAGGTAAAACTCATAAAAGTATGGGTTCCCCTTGATGACTGGCTTCCCCTGGAGTTTTTATATCTTATATTTGTCTACAATGAGCCTTCAGAAATTTGTCAGTTACATCTCAGATTTTCCTACCCTGCTTGTAAGTCATAATTCTCTGTATCTGCCTGTCTGTCTTTCTAGTTTGGGGGACAGTAGTTTGCCCTGTGATCTCACTTCTCTGATGGATCTAAAAAGAGTTGTTGATTTTTCAATTTGTTCAGTTTTTTTACTTCCAAAATTGTTTTTTAAAGCAATTGTGTCATTTTTCATTTGAGAGTTCCATTTACTCCACATGCTTACCATTCTTGGTATGGTCTGTCTGTTTAATTTTAGACATTCTGATAGATATGTAGTAGTATCTCATTGTGGTTTTTCATGACCTCATTTGCCATCCATAAATCTTCTTTGATTAACTTTATGTTCAAGACCTTTGGACATTTTTTGAGTTATTTTGTTGTTCCTGAGTCTGAGAATTCTTTATATATTCTAGATACAAATTCTTACTATATATACATATACATATACATATACATATACATATATAAATACACACACACACATACATATGATTGCCAAATATTTTCTGTTTGTCTATGGCTTGTGATTTCATTCCCATACAGGGTTTTTGAACAGCAAAAGTTTAAAATTCTGATTAAGTACAATTTATCAGTTTGTCTATGGCTTGTGATTTCATTCCCATACAGGGTTTTTGAACAGCAAAAGTTTAAAATTCTGATTAAGTACAATTTATCAGTTTTTACTTTTTTGGATCATGCTTTTGGGTATTGTATATTAAGAAATCTTTGATTAATCCAAGGCCACAAAGGTTTTCTGCTGTTTTCTTTTAGAGGCATTATAGTATTATGTTTTACATTCAGGTCTATGGTCCATTTTGAGTTAATTTTTGTTTGTGGTATAGGGTATAAGTTTGGAGTTTTGCTTGTTTAAATGCAGATATGTATCTTTTTCACCACCATTTATTGAAAAAACTATGCTTTCTTCACTGAAATGCCTTTGAACTGTTGTTGAAAATCAGTTGTCCGTATATGAATGGGCCTTATTTAGACTCTATTCTGTTCCATTGACCTACTTTGTCTATCTTGTCACTGATACCACATTTTGTTGATTACCATATCTTTCGAATAACTCTCAAAATCAGGCAGTGTTAGTCCTCTGGCTTTGTTCATTTTTAAAGTTAAATAGGCTATACTGGTATTTTCTTTTGAACTTTGGAATCAGCCTGTCAGTTTCTATAACAAACCCTACTGGGATTTTGATTACAATTACATTGAATGATACATTTGTCAAGAGTTCTGAGTCTTCTGATATCTCTTCATTTATTTGGGATTTAATTTGTCTCAGAAATACTTTATAGTTTTCAGGGAGCAGTCCTCACACATCTCTTATCAGATTTATTTCTGAAAATTTACTATTTTTGACACCTTTTAAAATTGTGTAGTATATGTAAGGGTGACTGCTAAAATTTTTTTTGATGGAGGGTGCTTGATCAAAAAATTTTGGAAGACATTGCTGTATACAATTATCCTGGCCAGCAGAACTAGGCTTTCTCATAGGCCTTAGTCTTTCCCATAGGGACACTTTGCTATAAGTCTTTGAGGTTTTGTTGGACACATGTAAAACCTCATTTCATCCTTAAAATAAACCTTCAAGACAGACTCATTAGTCAGTACAAGGTCACAGAGCTAATTAAGGGCAGAGGTAGGATTCAGACCTAAGTCTGTTTGATTCCAAATCAGATATTTTCTCGTTTCAACTTAAGTGAAATGTAGTAATAATGTAAACTTTAAGATACCAAAATGTACAGAATTAATAAATGTTAACATTTTCTACCTTTGTATCTTTCATTTAAAAAGATAAGAAGTGTATATACAGCTAAAGCCCTCTTCCCAACATCTTTCCCTTATCAGTATCAAGATATACATATACATCTGTAAACAATTTATATTGTTTTGTTTACTTAAAAATGTTGACAATGGTACATACAACACTATATATATTATTTTGCAACTTGCTGTTTTCAGTCAATATAGGATACTGAGATGTTTCCATTTTAATACATGTAGACTAGTTCATTTATTCTCATTGTTTTACAGTACTCAAATTTATGAATAAATACAGTTTATCAATGTTTTACTTATTATTATTAGTTTCCTGTGGCCACTGTAACAAATTACCACAAATTAGGTGGTTTAAAACAACAGAAATTTATTCTTTCCCAGTTCTGTAGGCTAGATATCCCAAATCAGTATTACTGGGCTGAAATCAAGATGTTGGCAGGGTCAGGCTCCCTCTGGAGTCTCTGTGGGCAAATCTGATCTTTGCTTTTTTCAGTTTCTGGTGGCTACCAGTATTCCCCAGCTTGTGGCCACATTACTCTGTCTGCCTCTGCCTTCATATCATCATCTCCTCCTCCTCTTCCTCCTCCTTCTCTCTCTGTGGGTCTCTCTCTTCTCCCTTTCCCTCCTTCCCTCTCTTCCTGCCCTCCCTTCCCCCCTTATAAGGATACATACATGTGATGGCAATTAGAGCCCACCTGGATAATCCAGGATAATATAGGGAATCTCTCAAATTCAAGATTTATAAACTAACCAAATCTGCAAGGACTCTTTTTCAAACAAAGTAACATTTACATGATCCAGAGGTTAGGACTTGTTATCCTTGGGAGTCATTCTTTAGTTTCCTGCACTAATGAACAGCTATTTTGCTGTTATAGAAGGCTGCAAGGAAACATACATGTCTCTGTGTATATCTGCTAGTTGGTCTAGGATAGAAACATAGAAGTAGAATTGCTGGGCTGTAGGCTGCGAGTATCTAAGGATTATTAAATTATTCTCAGTGGAAGTGTCAATTTTTATATATATGTATTTTGCATATTGCTCATTTTTTCTGTTGTTAAAGTTTTATTGCTTTGTTCTTCACACATCCTGGACGTGAGTCCTCTGTTGGTAGATACATTCTCTGTATGGGCATCATATCTTTTTTTAAAGATTTTATTTATTTACTTTTAGAGAGGGAAGGGAGGGAGAAAGAGAGAGAGAGAAACATCAATGTGTGGTTGCTGGGGGCCATGGCCTGCAACCCAGGCATGTGCCCTAACTGGGAATCGAACCTGTGATGCTTTGGTTCACAGCCTGTGCTCAATCCACTGAGCTATGCCAGGCATCATATCTTTTGCCATATGAGCATTTAGATTTTTAATTGTAAATGGACTTACCCAGTTTTTTTCTTTATGGTTTATGAATTTTTCATTCTCTTTAAGAAATGATGAATGCCATTTGAATTGTCAGTTGTTACAGCACCATACTTTAAGTCTATACTTTTCCCAGTGGTTTGTACTGACATATCTGACATATTTCATGGTCCCATGTCTATATGAATTGATTTATAAGCTCTTTACTTTGTTAAATTTGTCTACTTATCTCTATCTCAGCCATAGTTTTAATTTTCTATATCAATTTTATGATTACTTTTTTCTTGTTCTATAAAGGCCAGATTAGATTTTGAGCACAATTATGTTGAATTTATAGATTAATTGGGGGCAGAATTGTGTTCACTATGAAATAGTGATTTCCCATCCATGAATATACTATATCTTATTTTATAATACTGTATAGTTTTCTTACTATTGCAAATATTGTCTTATCACTTTAAAATTACATTTTCTAACTGGCTGCTCCTGGTGTATATAGCTTTTTACATTATATTTTTGTATGTTGATCTTATTTTCTCTTTTGAGTACTCAGAACCTTTAGATTCTTTTGGATTTTATTTTGGACCACATCATGTAAACTGTAAATAATGATAGACTTGCATCTACCCTTATAATTTTTCTCCTTTATTATTACATTGGCTAGAAGCTATAATACAAGATATAAAATAACTAGTAATAACAGGTATCCTTATCTTTTTCCTGACTTAAAAAGGGATATTTCTAACACTTCATCATTAACTGTTTGCTTGTCATAGGTTTTTTTTTTAATTTATTTTAATCATTGTTCAAGTACAGTTTTCTCCCTTTTACTACCAATCCAGTCCCCCCTCCCAACCCTCCCCACTTCCCTCCCAACCCTCCCCACTTCTCTCCCATTACCACCCTCCCCCTAGTTTTCATCCATGTGTCCTTTAAGTTTGTTCCCGTGAACCCTTCCTAATGGCCCCTAAAATTCCCTGTTCTCTCCCCTGTGGTCACTGTCAGCCTGTCCTCTATTTCAGTGTCTTTGGTTATATGTTGCTTGTTTCTTTGATTTGTTGTTTGGGTTCCTGTTAAAGGTGAGATCATATGGTATTTGTCTTTCACTGCCTGGCTTGTTTCGCTTAGCATAATGTTTTCCAGCTCCGTCCAAGCTGTTGCGAAGGGTAGGAGTTCCTTCTTTCTTTCTGCTGCATGGAATTCCATTGTGTAAATGTACCATAGCTTTTTGATCCATTCATTTACTGATGGGCATCTAGGTTGCTTCCAGTACTTAGCTATTGTAAATTGTGCTGCTATGAACATTGGGAGGCATAGGTTCTTCTGGATTGGTGTTTTAGTGTACTTAGGATAGAGTCCCAGCAGTGGAATCACAGGGTCAAAAGGCAGATCCATTTTTACTTTTCTGAGGAAGTTCCATACAGCTTTTCATAGTGGTTGTACCAGTCTACAGTCCCACCAACAGTGCACTATGGACCCCTTTTCTCCAAAACCTCTCCAACACTTGTTGTTTGTTGCTTTGTTTATGATGGCCATTCTGACTGGTGTAAAGTGGTATCTCATTGTGGTTTTAATTTGCATCT